AAATCTGAGATCATTGTTATTGCTAGAAGACAATGAAAGGTCAATTGTGTGAGGCTAAGAAGAGGTCCTACAGTTGAGCGTACTCAAAAAATAATATTTTCAGGTCCTTAGTAATTTCTATTAAGGATTCCAACGATACTTTGGATTCATTGAATCTCACCTTCAAAGTAATTTCAAGGTCAAAATTTTGAAAACGGGGAATCCCTCTGTTTGATACATTTTACGTTCTAATCCATTCTCAGGTACTATTATGTCTTTGAAGGTAAGGCTCAAGGTCAAATAAAAGGTCGATATTGAAATCCTTAGTGAAAGTTACTAAAAATATGATCTTGATTTTTTGTATCAATATTCCTGTTAAGCTTCTTGCCTCACCTTGCACGTTTGAACTCCATTTGGTCATTAGATCTGATCTTGATCTGAGGTCTTAAGACACAGAATTTTCATTTGTTTCGGTTTCCGGTATTAAAAAAGGCTTTTTGTTAACGAAAGAACAAAAATCGACCTTGGAAAATTTTAAGTTCTCATTTATTATCATGTACTATTATGTCCTTGAAGGTGAGGTTCAAGGTCAAATAAAAGGTCGATATTTAAATACCTAGTGAAAGTTGCTAAAGGTCTGAAATAGATTTTTTGTATTAATATTCCTGTTAAACTTTTTTCCTACCTTACACGTTTGACCTTGATTTGGTCTTCAGATGTGATCTTGACCTAGGGTTTTAATACACAGAATGTTTACTTGTTTCGATTTCCGATATTAAAAAGGAGCTTTCCCTTAACGAAAGAACAAAGATCGACCTTGGACGTTTTACGTTCTAATTCATTCGCACGTACTATTATGTCCTTGAAGGTTAGGCTCAAGGTCAAATGAAAGGTCGATATTGAAATTCCTAGTGAAAGCTACTAAAGGTTTGACCTTGATTTTTTGTATCAATATTCCTGTTGAGCTTTTTTTTATTGGTCTTTAGATGTATTCTTGACCTAGAGTTTTAATACTCAGAATTTTCACTTTTTTCGATTGTCGGTAGTCAAAGGTTGGCTTTTCATCAACGAAAGAATAAAAATCGACCTTGGAACTAGGCTTGAAGGTGAAACCCAAGGTCAAGTCCATGGTCATCATTGCACTCCTGTTCAAGATAGTAGAGACATAGCCTTGACCTTGTTCAAAAGTATCCTACCTGGGAAAATACAGAACCGTTCCCTCCAGGTACTTTAGGTATTTAGGCAATAACTTTATTATCAACATATTCTACTAAGTAGCCAACCTAATGTTATATTCCGGCGTCCAGAAAATGATCATAAGTAAAATAAGGTACCGTAGCGTCATCTATGAGTATTTGTCACAGCTGTTTCTCTATTCACTATGTACACTTTGAAAAGGTTAGTGCCCCATAGATGGCGCTCTAGCCACCTCTTTGCTTGTATGCGCCCATAAAAACATATCCATGAAAGTATTTCTAGAGAAACATAGAAAAATTGTCATAGGTGCCGCTACGATATCTCATTTCATCTCGGACCATTTTTTGAACGTGAGAATATAGAGTTTGGTTGGCTATCTTCAGGTAAAATGATGGCAATGAGTATGAAAGGAAAATGTCTAATAGTGAACAAATAGTTACTGCTCAGCTCTTGTCATAGGCTTCGTCCATCAAGTGAGGCGTTTTTGATGTTTCTATGATCCCCGCCTCCATCTTCTGGTGAGATGTCGTCTCTTCTCACGTTCCTAATTCTATTTTAAATGTCAGTGCGTCGGATTTATTAAAAAATACTTGCGTTTTTTCCATTTCTCTTATTTAAAACTAGTTAAGGTTAGTGTTTGAGATTGATTGATTCTCCAATAAAATACCTAAATGCTAAAATGTTAAACTGAAATTAACAAAATAATTTTTGTTCTTATTACAGTAAAAAAAATTACGTGATATTTGTTGAGACCCCCTCTCCACCAAATTCACAATGAAAGCAGTAAGAAATGTTAATTTCTAAGAATGATAACATAGTAAAGTAGTGTACTGTAATAGCTTGAAGAGGAACTATATCTTTTCCCAGATATATTACCCTGTTAGTTTATTCGACAATATTCTTCTATATTACCAACTTATTTATTTTATTTTATAAAGTAAAATTCGGTAAACCACCCTAGTGAGCCAGTAAAACCTTAGATTAGATATTTTTGCCTGTTTTATGCATAATTTCATCAAAGTTCTCTCATAACGTACCAACTTGAATGCACAATTCATAAAAAAGTATTATTTGAACTATATTTTGATAAAATTTGGAAACAACAATTTTATACGCTGTATTTAATTAGTATTTAGTTACTGCCTAGGAACGTTCCGACTTTTTTAGTTAGAAAGCGCACTCATTTGTTTTTTTCTAGGTGATTACAACGAAGGTCAATATACAGAGTGTCCCAATATTCCGTAGACATAGACATACCGCATATTTTTAGACTCAAATCGATTTCATACGATTCACTTCTATGCGGTTGTTCATCTAAACTCTGGGCGCTGAAGAAAGACATTAAACGTAAACAGTGATCAGCACGTGAACACATCCCTCGAAAGCATCCACGGATATACTCCAGTCACTTTAGGTCTAAACATCCTCGGCAGTGTATTTCTAGTGAATCCACAGACCCTTTTTCGTGTCATCTTGAGACTAGAAAAAGGATGACTGTTAAAATAAGTTACCTTGATCTTTCATGAGCTCCCAGTACAAAACATCATCGATATATTTTTGATGTAGGAACAACAAATTGGTTTAGGAAACAGCCACTTTGAACCTAAATTGACTGGAGTAACATCGATCTACAGACAAATTCAAGGTCACTAGCAGTCATCGGCGCTCTACGAATCTGCACAGGTTTGGACTTGTAAACGTGATTGTAGATGACACGACAGGCATCTAACAGTTAATTCACGCACAGGATTGCATTGCATACGCATTACGCATTCAGTAGCGTATACTCGTTTTTCGCGAGTGGAACGTTTTGTTTATACATTGCCTAAGATACGATGTCTGACACAGATACAGCCGACGAAGTGGTTGACATCACCGCAACCCCACCCAAAAAAAGGGCTAAGAAGCTACATTTAAGTGCAAATGAAAAACAAATAATATTAAATATATACAAAAACCAAATTCAAGAAAAACCCGATTTGGTCGTGGACAAAGTTATATGTAAGGTAGCACATATTTCTGGAGTATGTCGGTCCAGTGTTTATAGGATCATTAAGGAATATAGGAGCACTCACTCACTTTCTGAGCCAAAACCGTATCCTGCAAGAAAAAGGATAACGGACGGAGTAGATGACTTTGACAGAACTGCCATCAGGAGGAAAGTGCATAATTTTTTCTTCCGAAATGAGATACCTACAGTAGATAAGATATTAAGATTAGTTAATGCTGATGAGGATCTTCCATCATTTAAAAGAACCACATTCCGAAAACTTTTGAAGGAACTTAATTTTCGATTCTTTAAACGGGGAAGAAACAGTATGTTAATAGAGAAAGAAGAAATTGTTGTGTGGAGAAGGGAATACCTTAGGAAGATTCGGAAGTTTCGCGATGAAAAAATAAAAATTTACTATTTGGACGAAACGTGGGTGAATGCTGGACATACTCAAGCGAAAGTTTGGGTCGACAAATTAGTAACATCATGAAGGCAGGCTTTTCTAGACGGTCTTTCGGCTGGATTGAAAAATCCTGCAGGTAAGCTCCTTCATCTATCCGGCAATTTAATTTTGATAAATTCGGGCAAATAATATGCTGTGATAGCAGATAATGTGTGATATTCTCCAAAAATGGTGCATTCGCAGTGTAGTCATTAGGAAAAAACTTCGACCCTCTTTTAAGCGTTATTTTGAAATTTATTATCATTTTTGGGTGCAGTCAATTTGCTTTGAATGGGTTTTGAGAAGTTGCAAACCTCAATTTTCTACGTTTTTCAGTTTTTGATCAGCATTCCGTTACTCTTAAATTCAGCTAAATGAACTCAATTGCCTCATTCCTTCAAATTTAATCAATCCATAGTGTAAGGAATAATTTATTTCCAGGAAAAGGCAAACGGCTGATCATTTGTCACGTAGGTAGTGAAGACGGCTTTGTTCCCGAAGCACTGTGGGCCTTTGAATCAAAAAAGACAGGGGACTATCATGAGGAGATGGACGGCAATTCCTTTGAAAATTGGTTCTCCAAAATGTTACTAAAGCTGGAGAATAACGCTGTTATTGTACTGGATAATGCCCCGTACCATTCTAGAAAAATAGAAAAAATTCCCACAATGGCAACTAAAAAAGCAAACATACAACAATGGCTGGCCTCAAAACAGATCGATTTTGATGAAACAATGGTCAAGGGTGAATTGATAAGTATAGTCAATAGACATAAATACAAATACGATTTTAAAATGATCGACGAAATGGCCAAAAAACAAAATAAAACTGTCTTGAGACTGCCACCCTACCATTGTGAGCTGAACCCTATTGAGCTGATTTGGGCCAACATAAAGCAATACGTGGCGTCGAATAATAATACTTATAAATTTTCTGATGTTAAAAATCTCTTTCACATCGCAGTCAATAGAGTTACGGCAGAGGAATGGAAAAACTGTATCCGCCACGTTCGGGAGAAGGTTGAGGTCAAAATGTGGGATTTGGACAATGTCATCGATACCCAAATTGAACCTCTAATAATTCATTTAAACGATTCAGAAGATTCAAGTTCCTCTTCTGAATGAGTGCGCGCAGCTTACTTACTAATAACTAAAAAGTGTAGTTAACTCATTTGTGAATCTCTAACTGAAATTTACTGTAAAAGATAATAATTATCTTGTATGAAATTTTTGAAGACTACCCATAATATCTTGATGCGGTCCTGTAATGTCTCCTGCGCCTAAACACTCACTCACGAGCAATATGCGTGTATTTGTTTGGGTTTAGTTTCTTTCTTCAGCGCCTAGATTATAGCGTGCGGCAGAAGAGAAGCTGAATAAAAACAAGCGATTGATTTTAACATTTATTAGGAAACATATAACTCACAAGGTAGGTACTTAAAATGTACGTAATAGGTAGTCGGCTGAAGTGTTCAGTCCCCAGTCATCATCTCCATAAATTCTGTAAAAGAAAAACGCTCGAATTATGAAGCTATAAGTGAATTAACCCAGAAGTCTGAAAAACACGTGGCTCAATAACTGGTCAATACCCAGAAGCGGGTGAGTGGCTCAGGTAAAATTATAATGCAAAGTTTGTGACGACAGCGCTATATTTTGAGGATCATTTAGTAGCTAAAGGTATGTAAAACCATCTAAGAAACCGTGAAAGCAGCCTAGTGTAACTTTTGAATTCTTACCTTCAAAATCTACAGTTCCTGAGGAATCGGTATCAATCTCAGCAATCATCTCGTTGAGCTGATCATTCGTCAGTTGGTCGTCAAGCGCGGCTAGGATTTCCCTCAAACTGGAAGTGGGGATGTAGCCGTTTCCCTCTTTGTCGTACAAACGGAACGCCTCCTTGAGTTCCTTTTGCAAAGCTTCGTCATCCTCGTTTTCTAAGAAGTGTCCGGCCACCCTGCAGAAAGAGTCGAAATTGACGACGCCCGAATCTGAAACAGAGATACAAGAAAAATTATCAGCATAACTTAGAATTGTTAGAACCAAACCGTCACAGAATTATTGTAGTCTCTTTAGAATAATGATTAACGTAAATCAGCTTCAAAGCAGCATACGTTTTTCACCACAGCTCATTTATACGCGATTTAAGCCTGAGTTCACAATCAAGGACAACTGCAAGACAACAAATCAGAAAATTGTTTTAACTCGTATGGAGTTCATCAAGTTATAATAGAACCCTCTAGAATAACTAGTACCTCGAGCAGCCTACTGGATCCCATATTTATCAATGATCTTCAAGTCTGTTCAAATTCTGGGACTATAAATATGGATCTACCGATCATTTTTTAGTATTCTGTGAAACAACTTTGCAGTCTAAAAAATCTAAGCAAAAATTCGTTAAATTCAGAGACTTTAAAAATTTTGATATTTTTTCATTTCGAATGATGTTTTAAACTCTCCCTGAAGCATTATATATTCTCTAGCGAGTATTGATCATAAAATTTCATATTTGACAGATCGTTTTTGATAAGCATGCATCTATAAGAATTGTACGTGTAAATAAACCGCATGAATCCTGACTATCATCCCAGCTTAAACGTATGATGAAAGACAGAGCATTATTTCAGTGATCGATTCAACTTTAAACCAATCGACATGACTGATTTAAAATCGATGTTCCAGTCTCTGAAGTCGAATGCCTTGGGAAGCGATGGCGTGTAACTCAGAATGCTAAAACTATGTTTTTTTGCGATTTCAGGTCACATTTTACACACCATAAATACATGCTTAGAAAGGGGATTCTTTCCAGAATCATGGAAAGAAGCATTAGTGTCACCTCAAGCTAAAATAAGTAAATCAAAATTATATTCTGATTTAAGACCAATTAGTATTTTACCTGTTTTGTCCAAACTATTAGAAAAAGCAATGTACGCCCAAATTCGCGATTGTCTCTCTAAATATAAAATTTTGACTCCCAAGCGATGCGGTTATCGAAAAGGATATAACACTGCAGGTGCCATATTGGACTTAACCGATAACATTGTTAGAGAAAGGTTCGATACGATAAATCATCGTCTTCTAGTCACATTGACATGGTTCTATTTTCAGAGTGCCTCATTTCCTCCGGAGTGCCTCAAGGGTCTGTACTTGGGTCGCTCCTATTCATTATATATATATATTGTACGATAAATACAACTGCGTATTATGAGCATTAAGTTGCAGTTTAGCCTGTTGAAGAGCTAGAGCTAATTGACTTGACTTCATTGCCTCCGTACAGCTTAAATTATATTCTCAAACATAATAGGAATTTTTTCTCTAGTGCACTCGAGGTCCCGTTACCGCTAATGCACTCTTAGCATCCATAATCACCTGGGAATTTTAATGAAGTCCAGGAAACCTTGCGCCGACTTATTCTCTTCGTTCCTGGAAACCGCCGTTAGCTCTTTTAATGGCTTCGCTGTACCAGTCTGCCTGTGTTGACGGATAGAAAGCAGTTTTCTGGAACGGGGATATAATAACCGGAAAAATGTTGCAGTGTTCATCCGAAAAAACTGATTTCGATGGAGGAGCTTTCTTGCATGGAGCCGCAAATCGAGTACTCAATAGAGCATGGTCGTTTTTTAACTATACATATACAGATAGACGGTGGAATTTCCTTTATACGGCATGTAATGGATCTTGGAAAATGGGCAGTTTCTTATAGTAACATAAATATCAAAGTCTCAAGATTGCCGAGATGCTACTATTCGCAAAATCCAACCTAAACAAAACCTATCCCGGTCCTGTATCTTGATCAGATCAAACATGAACACTTACGTTGCGCAACAGTACTCAATCCAGGCGCTGGCCGCATTTGTAAACGAAACCTTTACAAATTGATTCTAAAAACACAAAAAAATATATACAGCAATATCGGGACTGTCCATATTATCTTAACTTAGGGCGAGGGTCTTCGAAATGCTACCGAGGCTTCGCGAGTACAGGCCGATCGCTCATGATTTCTTTTTTGGTTTGGCTCGAAATGGAGTGTTTAGAATTTAAAACTGTGGTGAACACGGTTGATTAACTACGTGAGCTCTAAATTTTGAATAATGCACATCAGTTCACTAGCACGGCCCTCCATCAACCGTCATGATTACCACTGGTTTTACTAGTCCATGGTCAGTTTTAGCTAATGGTAGAAACTCTTCAAGTTCGAGAAGCGTCTCGAAATCCTGAGCATCAGTATTAGCAGTAGATGAACTATGCTTTCCACTTCGAATAGCGATGTATGTTGGTCCAGAATATCCAACGGCTTGCTTGATTTTGATACCAGCATAAACAGATGGTATTAATTTATGACGCTCAGCGATTACCCAATCGTGATAACGCATTTGATTCTATATTCGATGTGAATTAGAAGAGGTGCTTGCCTATTTGCCGCAGTTACGCCAATAGGGACTCGAGCTTTATCATCTTGAGATGTGAAAAATACTTGATCTGGTCCAAGTGTGGATGGTATGTTCTCTAAATAATGGATTGATGTTGCAGCGACCTTGCTATCTAAGTGGCTCTTGTGGTGATCAGTTTGATCCCGAATCAGCTTAACAGGGACTGTCGATACATGTCTTCGTCCCTCTGCAGAATTAGATTTTCTGGGAATCAAACGAAGATATGTCCCACTGCGACTTATGTCAAATCCTATTTTACGTAATTCTTGTGTGAGTTCGTCAAGAGTTTTTACGATGCGAATTGATTCCGTCATCATCTGCTGCACTCCCAAATAAAGCTATATCCGCGATTGTTTTCAATAGTGAATGTTGATTGCTTTCAAGATTAGGACGTCCCACTGAATCCCTCAGAGATAGTCTTTTTTTATTTCTGGTTTTTCATGACAAATATCTTCTAACTTTCTTTTCATACCATCCCTGTGTTTCTTCTGCGCAACTTAATGATCTGTTTATCAACTTCAGCACGGCTTGGCATAGTATCTCTGGCAGAATACAAAGCATTCAGATTTTTTTCGAGTACAGCAATCTTATTTTTCATAGCTTCCTGAGAAGGTTTTGCTCTCTGTTTATCTGTATTTTCATTAATTGCGCATTGCTGTTGTGATTCATTGCCGGGTTTTATTTTATCTTCTTCTTCCTCTTTTTTAATGTTTGAAGCTGACTGTATAATTTGTGTTTTTTCTGCAGGTTGCCTAAAAATAAAAACTTTGTATGGCTTCTGCTAAAGATTCTCTTACTAAGCTACATAAATACAAAGTATGGCAATATATATGGTAAATACAAAACCCTATGGCTTTAAATCTAATATGTTTAAACGAGCAATTCGTTCCGGTCACAAAATACAGGGTGTTAGTTTTCTGTATATATGTATAAAACTAACATCCTGTACTTTGTGACCAATTGACGGAATCAATCATAAGAAATAAATCTATAATATATAATGAATATTACCTCTATACTTTGAGATAGGCCATAATATTTTCTAATCAGTAAAGAGACATCTTTTGGCGATTTCTAATATTTCTAGTACTCATAGGTACCTAAAATGATTTCCTCACTCACCTTAGAAAAAAAATTTAGTAGATTGGATTTATTCTTAGTCGCCGCTTGCAATTCTTCTACGATTCTCTTAGATACAATAATATCTAGTTCCTTGTCGGATTTTGCTTGTAATCTATAATTTCGCCACACTTCGTTAACTAACTTTTGTACATTTTGTACTTTCGTAGTTTTATGAGATTTTTTAAAACTTTCAAACTATTTTTGGTATAACTTAGATTTTTCTATGTGGAACGACATCTTATTTAAACATTAAACTTTGGCTAATGGAATCAATGGTAACACAAATGTTAACTTGCTTTACTATGCTTACAATACATCTACTCGCTATAGTAGTATCCAAAGGAAACAATACACTGATAGAGAAAATTTAGACAAGTGAACACCACGCGGTAATTCCCCTACTCGGTTCTAAAGCGAGTAAGGGAATTACCGCGCGCTGTTCACTAAACGTATGCATTATTTGCGGGAATCCCCGAAAAAGCGTTTCGTTTGCAAGCAAAGACAATGTGAGGGTTGCCATTCGTGTAAAAAAGTAAATAACTAACGATGACGTAATCATCATCTAGCCTCCCCTACCCCTATGTCATCTAAAATAAGCAAAGCAAAGAACCCCCGCCCCCCATAGTGCTCATGTAATACTTGAACGGCCCCTTACAAGTGATAGAGCTGTACTTGAAATCTTAAAATGTAAAATAATATATTATAGTATTATATCAATTTTGCGAAGCGCTTTGATGGTTGCTTCACATTATCCAAAAAATCTCAACTTTAGCAGCTTGTCAGTCCGCAAATATGAAATATAGTGATTTTACATTCTACGACTTTGAGGTACTCATAGGGAGCTTCAAAATGAGGTATCGTCCTGCCCAGCCGCCATCTTGAACTTCTGAACTGTCCGTTTCATGCACCAATTTCAACAGCCCGAATTTTAGCTAGCTCAAAAAATGAGTGGTGAAAGAGAATCACTGAATTGGTTTTATTACGATTTTGGATAAACTCCATTCATACTGATTTAATTGAAGTAGGATTGTATAGTCATGAAGTCTCAATTCTAAAAAGTCATCAACCTCTTGCTGATGGTTTGGTCAAGCTATTAAAGTTGTTAACCAGATAGGCAGCTCTTCAATTATTTCTTCAAACTGCCAGACGTTCGCGCATCGCATTCAATAAATCGATGGTGTGCAAACGCATTTAATTATTGACGAAAGACGGATAGACTGTCTATTGATTAACAAACTAATTAAATAGATGCATCACTTAACGAAATGCATACCCACCACCGCATCGACAAATGATGTTTTCCTTTATTATGAAAGTTCAGTTTCGTAATTACTATCTAGTACGAGGACACTAGTGAACCTCAACGAAAAAATCATCTAAACTCACAATGATTGCCAGTAAGCTCAGAGCTGATATTTTATAGGAAAATCTATATAATA